CCCCCCTCCCCAGCCAGCCCTTAGCACTGCCCAGAGGTGATTTAAAGGGCTACTAGGAGCCCTGGGCCCTTTTGAATGACTGGGATCTGGGGCAGCTACCCCCCTTGCCCCGTGGGCAGGCCCGGAGTCAGGCACATACAGATTGCTCTGCTCAGGGCTGAAATGACTCGCCAGAGGCCACAGGACGTGGCAGCAGTAGAGCGGGGAGTGGAAATGACGCAGCCTGACACCCGGTCTTGTGCCCTGTGGCTCTGGCACTGAATGGGCCCTTTTGAATGACTGGGATCTGGGGCAGCTACCCCCCTTGCCCCGTGGGCAGGCCCGGAGTCAGGCACATACAGATTGCTCTGCTCAGGGCTGAAATGACTCGCCAGAGGCCACAGGACGTGGCAGCAGTAGAGCGGGGAGTGGAAATGACGCAGCCTGACACCCGGTCTTGTGCCCTGTGGCTCTGGCACTGAACCCTTCTGCACTTTGGTCAGGAGATAAGGCCAGATTTTGAAGTGTCTGGAAATTCTCACCCATTGCTCTGCGTTGAGAGAAGTGAGATTAAACCGCCACAGGATGACAGCAAACGATAAGGGATGAGCAGCTGTGCTTCGGAATGACCGAGCCTGAGATCCACTCAATCGGGACACAGAGGGGCTAATAGACTGGCCAGCCCCCTGGGCAAAATGGGGGGAGCTGGCTCCATGCTCCTGGAAGGGGCAGGGCTTCAGGTGGAAGGGGCAGTACTGGGCAGCCCAAGGTACTGTCCAGAGCACACTGTGGCACCCCCAGCCCTGCAGCCAGCCCTCAGAGCCGCCCAGAGCATGCCACGCCATGCTCCATCAGCAATTTAGAGGGCCCAGGGTTCCAACTGCTGCCGCTCTCACCAGCCCCTGGAGCATTTGACCCCTTTGCCTGCACCTGCCTGTGAGCCTGAGGGTACATCTGCGCTACACAGCTTTTAGTGACGTGGCTGTGGAAGGTCAAGGCAGGGGGTGCACAGAGGAGGCCTGAAGGTCACTGGGACTGTGCTGCCCTGAGGTGGCTGTTCCCATTGCTGGCTGGCCCTGCCAGCGGTGTTCCCCGGATGCTCTTCCTGGGTTCCGCTGGTCAGCGGGGCTCCAGCCCCTGGTGCAGGGGCCGAGGGCTGGGGCGGGGGGTGGGTTTTGG